TCCTCAGAATATAATTATATGAAGAGATTGAAATGACAAGTTCACTTTTGAAGGTTTTGTTCTCTGTGACAAGGCTGAAGTTATCTCCTCTGCCAAAATGAAGAAAAACAGAATTGTAATGGCAATTAATTTACATTCAAATAGCTCTTTTCATCCACCTGGATCCTGCAGAGCCCTGAACTTTGCTAGCTGAGCACACAGAACAGGGAATGGGACTCATTCATCCCATGGAGACATAGGCAGCCAGTGGCAGGATGCTGGAGGTGGCTCTCGGGAATCAGAACGAACAGAGATGTTATTGATCATCTCTGTGAAGAGCCAGCGTGTCCGTTTCCTTTGGCATCAGCATGTGGATCATACCCATCTCCATACGCTCAGTGTCTAAGTCACAGCTCATCAGAAGTGTGGCCTGGGTTGTGCCCTCAGATCTGTCCTGGAGTCACTGGCTGCCTCCGGGTGAGACATTTGTGCTGCCTGATTTTTGCTGACATTTGTGCTGATGGGTCTCCTGCAGGAGGCCCTTGGGAAGAACAAGGGAACAGGTGTGACCTCCCTCTTCTCTGACTTTTCGGCATCACCCAGATCGGGATCAGTCCCTGGGGATTTACTGCAGAGACATTCCTCTGGAGGGGGAGGAGAGAGCAGTCCTGGAGCAGCAGGCTGCCTTCAAGTACCTTCAAGGGGCAGGATGGAGCGGAGCAAGGAGCCACTCCAGGGCATTCTCTGCCCGTGGTTAGGAAAATCAGAGCTGGGGAAACACCGAGGTGCAGGTCCAAGCCTGTCTGAGGCCATTCCTGATCCATCTGCCAGCAGCATCCCCAGACCCATGAGTCTGCCCCCACAACTGGAGTCAGTAGGGTGCCCACCAAGGTCTGGGGGGCTGGGTCCAACTCTGCATCAGCAGAGGCAATAAATCAGAAGGAAGCACCCCTGGACACCATAACAATGAGCTGTTCCACGGATTCACATGCCCCTCATCCTACATGTCCATCTGCACAGTCAGGGAAGCTGGTGAAGTCAGAGCATCTGGGACACAGAAGGATCCCATCCAATGTCTCCAGCTGTATCTCACCGAGCCGTGCTTGGAAGTGGGTGCAGGAGTGAATGGATCCCAGTGCAGGGATATTCATGGCCTTAGCCTCACAACCCCCTGGAGTATCCAAACTGTGGATCAGTCTCCTCCAGCAGAGCCGGTGTAACCACGGGACCATGCTGTTTTTTGGGGTAGTTTTAAAGGGAGTTGCCTGGGACAAGGTTTACAGGTGTTCCCAGCTTCCATCAGCAGCCTCTCCTCTTCCCTGAGCTCCTGGCTTTGCTCCTGGTGACTCCCTCCCCAGCCAGCCTTACATGCTGCTTCTCCTTCTCCTTTTTGTCAATTCCCGTGCTCTGAGTACAGGATCTTACATGAATCCCCTCCTGCCAATCACAAGGAGTTATAACCAGCTCTTCTCAGGTCATTACAGAGTGCATTTCTCCACAAGAAAGAGATGCCCTGAATTGCTTCCTCACACACATGTACGTATTTTTAATCTGCTGCTTTGTTTTGTGTGGAGGGAGACTCAGGCATTGGATGGCTGCCCTGACATAGCCTGCTGCCAAATGCCAAAAATAGCGAAAAAAAAAAAATCTTTTCTCCCTTATCGGCCTCAAATCCACTGAGAATGGGGGAAAAGCATTGAGGTGCATCTGCCATGACCATCCCTGCTGGTGGAGTGGCCAAAGAGAGAAAAGCATCTCACCCAGAGACAGTGCTGCCGTGGGGGGGTTCTGGTTCCACACCTGGTGTTACCTGCTGCATTCTCTCCCTGGGGCTTGGCCTGAAGTACCTCCTGTGCCTGGCCGGGACAGGGTCCTGTCCCACTCAGGTGTGATGGAGGGAAAAACAGAGGGGAAAAACCAGAAAAAATGAGACAGCATTGAAAAATGGGTTTCTTATGGGTTTCTTATCTCTAGTTTCTCCCTCTCTGCTACTGGGCAGCAAAACTCTACGCAAATTATCAGAAACCTTTAGCTGAGTTTTCCACAGAGCTGCTCCCACTGTTTTCCCAGAGGGATGTTCAGACAGATGCCAAACCCACACTAGGGGCCAGCCAGCGTGTGCAATATTTGGCTGAGCATTTTGCTGCCGCTACCACCCTGCTAAACTGAAATACTGCCTTGGATTAACAAAAGGCAACTGGACATGCTAATGGGAGAAAACTCCACAAAACTCGCTCCCGCCCCTGCACCCAGGACCATGTCCTGGCCCAGGAAAGCCTCTCCCTCTGCCCTCAGCCCGGAGCGAGCCACCTCCAGGCACTCCTTGTCTTTATCGCCAGGTTAATTAGCACCTCAGTTTCTGCTTTGCAATTAACCTACTTTAAACAAGGCAAAACAGATGCCTTGGAGAGGATCTGGGGCACTCAGGAGTGGACAGAAACCATCCCAAGCTGAGACAGGGATCAGATCAGATCAGATCTGCGGCCGCAGGAGAGCGATGGGCCGTGGGGGTTCTGCTGCCCAACCCCAGCCCCAGCGTTGTGGCCACAGGGTGGGTCTGGTGTTCCTCTTTGTCTTTCCTGCTTCACATGAACATATTAAAAAACAGTGACCCAGGTGCACATCTTTCTGAAATCTTCAGCTTGCAGCTTTATTTTGTGATGGGCCGGTGCAGTAAAGACCACATTAGTTGCTCCCTGTGGGTAGATAAAGGCTTGGTTTATATCCTAAATAAAGTTGGGAAATCACTGGGATATTTTTGGTTCAGTATCTGAACAGCCAAACAAAATTTAAAAAAAAAAAAATTAAAATAGCAAAAATTACAGACTTTGGAAAAATCTGACTTGGGCTGGGAGATGTGAAAGGGCACAAAAGTGGGAGGAAAGGGTGAAAGAGGAGGTGAAGAACTGAAGGTTGTGAGTGTGCTTAGAGGAAAAAAGAACCCATCCATCCAACCATCCATCCATCCAAGTCCTGTCAGCCAGCCACAGGACACAAACACACCTCTCCCACCTGGTTTTCAGTTATTTATCCCAGTCTGCCCTCCTGTCTCATCCCTTTGCTTACTGAAGAAAAAATATTCCAGGCTCTGAGCACCCCGTTGTTGGCTCCCTGTTCCCACTTAGCACCAGGCATGCATTTCATTGCAGAGTTTCTCTTATTTTTAATATATTTCCATAACTTGTTCTTGCTGCCTTTAATGTTTTGCTGTATCCTGCCATTCCCTCACATCCCGGCCGCTGGTGCTGCTCCTTCCCAAGCCCTGTTCTCACACTTTGCAGGAGTCCTGTTTGTTTTCTGGTCGGTCCTGAGGCAAACCCAAGGTCTGTGCTCCTAATCCTTGTGTAACACCAGCAAGTCTGTCCCTGAGTGGTTCTGAAGGAGAACTGCCCACCCATGTCTTCTATCACCAGGATCTGTTTTTCTCGTGGGAAAGCACGTACGTCCAGGAGTGCGTTTGCAGGGAGTTTCCATGGCCCTGGCATGGACACAGTCACTGTTTCCCATAGAAACTCGGATCTGATGGAGAACAATGCTGGCCTGAGCCTCACTTTCCCCACTCAGTGTCACTGAGGAGAGCACATATGTTTACTATGAACACAAATTAACAGGCAGGATGAGTTAATTAGAACTAAACATTAAACTAATTGCTTCCCCTTTCAAAGGCTTTGAAGTAAAAGCAGTACGTGAAATTTTTCTCTTCTTGATTCCTTTTTCCTACCAAGCATCAGTGTTTGGGAATGCTGGAAGATGTCTTCTTCCCAAAACCTTAACAATTTCCATAGGAAATTTGACCTCTTCCACACTTCAGGAAACTAATGTTGAATTTCTCTCTTCCACTTTCCCGACCTTTCAAAAGTGGCTGAGGGGGAGGGATGTCTACAGGAGTCCTACCTGAGCTTTGGGCACTGACACAGGTGGGTTTGGGGAAATCCACAGTAAAAGGCAGGAAAAGCCAGAAAGTGTCACTGATACAGAAGTGCCATCTCCCATGAGATCAGTGGGATAGGGTGACTATGGCTTGGAGAAACTGCAGGCCAGGCCCTACTCAGCAGGCCACAGCACTTGGCAGCCTCTAAAGAAAGAAGAAGAACAATCCAGACCTGTAGAGACCAGCACAGAAGCTACTGAAAAGCCTCTTGTCCCTGTCCAGGCACCAGCACCTCTGGTTAAAGCTTATCAAGGCTCTAGAGCTGGGGACAATCCTGGCTTCCTCTTTTCTCAGCACAGAGCTCTCATATCTGTGGCACCAGCTCAGAGGCCAGAAATGGAGCTCAGTATTTGGATTATCCTTTAAGATTGAGGACTGCACTGTGCCAGGGACCCATCACTGCAGGGTGGATGGGAGCTGCACCAGAGTGTTGTGGTACAGACAGGGTTCAGCACAGCAGCTGTTTTAAAGGAACTTTGTAATTATATTTTGGTGAGTCAAAATGGTAAAGTTCTCTCATCTTCTGGTTTTGGTGTATCTCCTCTTTCTCATATTACACTGCAGCAACGATAACATTAAGCCACCCCTTACTGTAACCTTGGTAAAGGCTGAAATAACACCACAGTCCCATGTGTTAAAGGGTGAGAGAACTATATGAGAGCAGAATTTGCCCTCACCTTGCTCTGCTCTGTTGTCCTGGCAGGTGACAGCCACCAGGTCAGCTGGATGATGGCTGCGAGCTCCAGCCCTTCTAAAATAGAAATACCTGAGTCATTAAAATAGACATTGTTAGGAGGGGACCTTATAGCAGGCAGTAAGATCCCATGGGAAGACTAGTTTAAGGCCTTAACTGTTTCTTAATATTCTTAAACAAGTCCAGCCTGCTTTTCATCTTGATACAAACTTAGCATAAGTATTTGGGAGCTTGTCTTCATTAGTAAAACCCATCAAGAAAGGATGTGGGTAGTTAATCCCAACAGATGCATGCTTAAGCCTTAGACCTCTACATTTTTTTCCCAGTAATTACAAATGCTTTTGGGGAATTCTGTCTGTGTCAGACGAACTACAGGGGCTGTTTCTCTCCCCCCAGGTGCCACGAGCCAGGGCCCTGTACACCTACCGTGGGCACAACCCCGGGGAGCTGCGGTTCAACAAGGGGGACATCATTGTGCTGCTCCGGCAGCTGGACGAGAACTGGTACCTGGGGGAGGTCAACGGGATCAGTGGTGTTTTCCCAGCCAGCTCTGTGCAAGTCATCAAGCACCTGCCCCTGCCCCAGCCCCTTGGCAGGGCCCTCTACAACCTCGACCTGCGGAGCCGGGACAAGGCGGAAAACAAGGACAGCCTGACCTTCCATAAGGTACCACCTACAGCACTGGGACACAGCTTCCCTGCAGTCCACGGTGCTCTGCCATTCCCCAGATCCTTGGGAGCTCCTTTTGGGTATCAGGACGGTTCCCAAGTCCCCTCAGACACTGCTGCCAGCACCCCAATGCCCCACAGTCACACAGAGGGACAAAGGGCACCCAGAGAGGGATGCAGGTGCCCCCCAGCTCAGCCAGGGCCAGCTCAGTGCGTCGCAGGCAGCGTTCCCAGTCCTCCCAGTGCTGCAGCTCTGGAGGCCTTCCAGCCACTCTGCTCCCTGACAGAATTTTTTTAGCACTAGTCTAGACATTAATTGTGTTGTGCAGCTTAGCTTGAGATGCAGAGTGTAAATGGCACCAGCACCAATTCCTAGAAATAAAATTAATACTTGTAATGCCCATAATTACAGCAAGCTCTGCTTTGTGGCTGTTCTATAGGAGGACATGAGCAAAACACCTTATTTGAAGCTCTAATAGATTTTGAAAAATGTCTTTTCACTTAATGAAATCATTTTAGCTTCAGTAATGACTTATTTAAGTCTGGCATTAACAGACACAAGTTAGTCAGGGACACATAGACCCACCAAGGAATTAGAAATTAATCCTGGAGAAGGCAAAGGTAGGGCTGCTGGTGAGAGACATGAGGGTTCTCCTGGCTCTGACACGCAGTTTGTGACCTTTTTTCGCATCTTCTGGTATTTGGAGAGGCAGAAGAATGTTTCCAATTCAGGCTAGAGCTTGATCACACACAGAAATGACAGGATGGCCATGGCACACATGTACATACGCACACACTGTGGGCTTTAAACTTAGTTTGGAGAGGGAAAATGTGAAAACAACTCCTGGGAGCCACGTGCACCTCTCCTTCCTCAGTCCCCTGTCCATCCCTGGCGTCAGGCACGTTGCCTCCCACGAGTGGGTGAGAATCTCCAAGTTTTGCAATTCGTTAATGTCAGCAGTAAATCATGATTAATTCCTCTGGCACCCATCGTGGTGAAAAACACTGTCACCACATGCCCTTTGCTATTAACACCCTGATCAGCAGTTTCCAAGAAATACTGTGTGAATGCTGCCCATATGCAAACTCGGGGCCTGCCTCTCCCTCATTAACCCCAATGCTTAACAAGCCAGGATTTTTTCAATGGAAGCAGCATCAAGCCATGAATGTTCAGGCTGAGGGAGATGGGATTGGGTGGATCTAATGCTGCTGGGAAAGTCACCACCAGTGATGGCCTCTCCGAGCCTGTGCCCTGCCTTCAGCTGCAGGGCTTGGGTGTCCTGCTGCAAGATGCACCCATATGTGCCAACACAGATGGGGAAAGGGAGATGTATCCAAATGTCCCTTCTAATTCAGAATTAGAGTTATTAAGCACTGTGAAAGAGCCAGTCAGCTCTCCCTGCACCTCTACCAGCCAAAGCCTTGGACAAGGAACGTACCAGGGGGAGCCCTGAACCTCAATAAACCCCTGTCTCAGCAACAAGTGTTTTAAACTAATTTAATTTTGCTGTCAGCTTCGCATCAGGAATTTTACATCCAGGATTTGTCACTGATGACAGATGAGGAAAATGACTGAGCCCCAAGGTTTTAAAGATCACCTGTAAGGTCACCTGAACCCTGCCTGCAGCTCTGCTGCCAGATTGGAAAGGGGAAACAGAGCAGTCGGGGGCTGTACCAGGTGTAACTTCTGAAACCACATCACGTCTCCCTTTGTCTCCCCCAGCCAAACACCACCGCCCGGCAGCTCCTGCAGACCTCCAAAACCCACTGGTCCCCTCAGTTTAAAAGTGCGTCCCTGCGAACGGCATCTCCCAAGGCGAAGGGCACGGATTCACCAGCTTTCCCCAAGGTGCCCGACTCCAGGAGGAAGAGCCTGCGGCAGTTCTCCATCACCACAGCCCTCAACACCCTCAACCGGATGGTCCACGCGCCTGCCGAGCGCCCAGCCCTGGAGATCAGCTCCCCTGTGCTCATCAGCTCCAGCAACCCCACTGTGGCCACCCAGAGCAACGAGAAAGCCGAGTTCCCCTACAGCACCCCTGTCCAGGTAAGGCAGTGGCAATACCAGTCTGCATCCTAAAGCTGGGACCATCCTGATTTGGGGGACTGAGATATAAACGTAGACCAACCTTCTGGACTGTATCCACTCTTAGTTTTAGGAGGCAGAAGAGTCTCATTCCTTCTTCCCGTTCTGACTAAAGATCTGAGTCCAGAATCTTCACAGATCATCTGAAACAGGAGAAAAAGGGGTTTCTTTAGATTTATGTGACATCTTTCATATTCAAGGTTGTTCCAACATTTTATGAAGCTGCCCCTGGCAGTTCACATCTGGACAATAACACCCAGCAGGCATTCTGTACTGAGCACCAGCCTGCAAAGAGCCAGCATGTGAGATCCTGAGTTGTGGAGGGGAAATGAAGCCTTACAGAGTTCCGTAACTCAATTGAAACAGTATCATGTCTCAGACCCCCAATGGGATTTTACCCAAAATGTTTGAACTACTGCCAATAGCAGAATCAAAGAGGGAACATGTAACGGTTTGGCCTTCGAAGGGTTGGGATTTCCTTGTTTCCAAGCAGCAGTGTTGCTCCCAGAGGTCTGCGGCGGGGGGGTGTGGGGTGTGGTGTGAGTGCGTGGAGGGGGCTGAGAGGGTGGAACCTGTGCTGTTCCTGAGGCTGCACAGGATGCAGCTTTCTCTTTCCACCTCTGGGCCTGCAATGACTGAGCTGCAAAGCTGAGATTCCTTTGCAAGCCCAGGTGGGCACTGTGAGGGTACCTGAGAGGCCGAGGGGACAGGGGGCTGCACCCGGGCACAGCCAGCGACAGCGCACGGCTGGAGAAGCGAAGCGGGAGGTGCTGCGCTGGGAGGTTGTCGGGCTCCCCACAGCACCACCTGCCTGCCTGGCACTCCCACCACCGCCGAGCAGTCGGACTCCTTTCAGCCCATAAAAGGGAATAACCGGCACTGCCCCAGCCTTCCTCCTCCAGCTCTTCCTTCCCCTTGGCGGTGCCAAGCCGGGCTCAGACGGAGCCAGAACCAGTTTGCAGGGCTGTGGCCGCCGTGTCTGTGCATGTGCCTGTTGCGCAAGCGGCTGCGGGGTGAGGGCAATGGGGCGCCCGCCCGCTCCACCACGGGAATCTCTTCCCAGTCACAGCTGAGCTTATTCCCTGGACCTGGCGCTCCCTGGGTCAGGGAACGTCTGTCTGAGAGCTGCTGCTGCCCTTTGCCGTTCGGTGAAGGGAGCTGATAAACCCCACAGCTGCCCTCCGCTACATCTGGCTTTTCTGTGCACTGAATGACGTGGAACCTGCAGGACGCAACATCCAGGAGAGCACTGAGAGCTTCCATGGCCCCCTGATGAGATGAGGGAAACCTCCCTCCCCACAAGGCAGTGCATGGACACTCTCGGCAGGGACTTGCCTGTGTCAGCAGCGCTGGGAATCACGATGATGACACACTAGAATGGGAGATGGAGTAAGAGAAGGATTTCAGGAGAGGCAGGGAATTAAACCCTTTGTACTTACAAGGGCTCGCAAGGTACTTGCAGGAGATCAGCAAAAGCAAATGCTGAAACCAGTTATACATGGCTGGAAAATATTTCCTCCAGTCTTTTTTCCTCTCTGTTGCAAACGCAAAGGCAGCTTTGAGGAGGCTAAAGGACGGCTGCTCCCAGGCAGAGGGGAACATAGAGATGAAAAACGTGGGGCTTTCCAGCCAAAAGGGGACACTTCAACACAGTTCCATCAGGAATACCCATAAAAGGCTGTAATTTTTCTCCAATGCAGGAAAAACAAACTCTGAATCCCAAAATTTCAAGCATTTTGATTATGATAATTATTAGAGTAGAATTATAGTTTCCAATCCACTTTATGAACACAACTGGTCTGACCCTGCCTGGACTAGCAAATGAGGAATGCAGAGATGGTTTGAAGCTGACCTGCCACTCCAGGTCCGAGACAGAAGCTGGAATTGCTGGGGTGTTTTAATTAACTTAATTTACTGGAGAGCACCAGAGCTGGTGAGTCACTTTTCTTTTTCCCTAAGTCCTTGCCAAGCCAGTGCTCCAGCACCGCGTTACAGACTTGACCACTAGAAATTAGATTTGAAATGAACACGAGATTAAAGCCCCAGTTTGCATCATTATAGAGCCTGTGGTCATTGCTGGAGAGCACGACTGGCAGCCACATCCCAGCCCAGAGACGTTCTGCTGCCCTGAGCTTCCCGGGACAACGCTGCCACTGCCCTGCCTTGCTGGGGGCTCTGTTCCTCCCAACAGCGGCCACACTCCTGCCACCACACAGCACAGCACAGCTGTGGCACAGCTTGGCACAGCCACAGCACAGTCATGGCACAGCCATGGCCCAGCACAGACATGCCAGCACCATGGCTGTTGCCTCCCAGCGTGCACAGCGATGGATTCCAAATGGGAATGAGCTGTTGCCTGCAGCAGTTCACCCCAGGGCACGTTTTGTGCTGTAGAAGGGACAGCTCAGCAAAAGAGCATCCCAAGGATGCCAGGCTGTCCACTGCCATCCTCCCTCCACACAGCAGCGTCTCCTGTGTGGAGAGGCTGGAGCAGCAACGAGTGCTCCCTCATCGGCCCCACCCCGAGGGCTGCTGTGCTGCCAGAACCACTGGCAACCAGAAGAGCAAAGGCAGAAGCCAAAGGGACGAGTTGGAGTGGGCCTGGTTGGCACAGACCCACAGGTTCAGTAGCTGGGACCTTCCTGGGCTCCCTGCAGAGCCCAGTGAGCACAAGGAACACAAAACCAAACTCAGAAGAAGAATGGAAACAGCCCACAGGCAGGTTCTGGTTTGGGGGTACTCTCTGGACCCTCAGCAGGATGCCAGGTAGAGGACCCCCAACAGCTCACACTTCACCTCAGAGACCCCTTCAGCGTGGGGGTGTCACCCAAACTTCAAGACAAGGGGGGACAGGGCATGGGAACAGCCCAGCACACTGCCCATGGCCTCACCAGCATTACAGGGACCCTTGGCAGGTGACAGCAGCTCTGGCACAGCACGTGTGAGGTACAGTTACCTCAGTAGCAGAAACGGGAGTGCAGTTCCTCCCTGGACCACCAAAGATCCTATGAGAGCCCAGAGAGGACATTATGGTGGCTGGTACCGCTCTGCAGGTGCAGAATGACAGTGGGGAAAGACCCACCCCAGCCACACACAACCCTGAGCGAGGGGTCTCTGCCCATGTGGCCAATGGCTGCTTCCTTCCTGCCCTGCACACAGACCTGTGGGGCTGCTGGGACACCACAGATGTGGTAAATGGCTTTAATCATAGTCATTAAAGATCACTGGGGCAAGGACTGTATTACTTTAGGGTTCAATACTTCCAGCTGGAGCTAAATAAACAAGTGAAACAGCAGTGATCACACCAGTCCTCACCTGGCAGATGCAACAGTCTCCTCCTGGTTCAAAGCCTGGGCTTGAAATGCCATTTTCCCAAACACCTTTCAGTTCCTGAAACAGCACCAGAGACCATGAACAGATCAAAGGCACTCATCTTGCTCAGAGCCAAGAGGGATGAGAGAATACCAAATGCAAGGAGAGGTGAAGGAGGGTCTCCCCTCTCAAGTGGATCTCCCATCTATGGGATTAGCAATAGATACAGTTTTAGGGCTTACCCATGACTCCTGGAAGTCACAGCTGTTGGGTTAAGGTTATCCTGTTCCATCACTGCTTCTAGAACCTCCCCCCACCCCAGCTTTTCTGCCCCAACAGCCCCAACATCTTAAAGGATGGGATGAGCACCGTCAGTCCAACGGAGCTGTGCCCTGGCAAGTGTCTTCATGTGGAAGGACCATGAGTCAAGCACCTGAGGGAGCTGGGGGGGGCTCACCCTGGGGGAAAGGAGTCCTTATTATTCTCTACAACTGCCTGAAAGGAGGTTGTAGCCAGGTGGGGATTGGGCTCTTCTCTCGGGCAAAGAGTGACAGGACAAGAGGAAATGGCCTCAAGCTGTCCCCAGGAGGGTTCAGGTTGGACATTAGGAGGAATTTTTTCACTGAAAGGGTTGTGAGGCATTGGAATGGCCTGCCCGGGGAGGTGGTGGATTCACCATCCCTGAAGGTGTTCAAGAAATGACTGGATGTGTCATTCAGTGCTCTGGTCTGGTTGACAAGGTAGGGATCAGGCAGAGGCTGGACTCGATCTTGGAGGTCTTTTCTAACCCCAGTGATTCTGTGATTCTTTGTCTTCCTCTCACTGCCTGGATCTTTTTTTAAGTCAAATGCTGCAAACTTCTATTTCTTGAAACGTCTTTGACGGTTTCTTTGAAGGTTGGGTGAAGCCAGTCAAATGTTTTTAGCTGCTCTTCCAGAGTCTTAAAAGAAGCCAATAACCAGACTAATACCTTGTTTTCTTTGCTTTTTTCCTCCCATAGGTCAGCACCTCTTACTACCCCGCACCAGGACCTCTGGGGCCCTCAGCAGCCATCGTCACCCTTCCCCACCTGCAGCACCACGTGCCGGCTTACCTGTACGTAAGGAAGCTGAAATACTTCTGGGGGAAGGGGGGTGTAGTTTCCTGTACCTTCTCCCTCAGCTTGCTCCTGCCAGCCAGGAGGTGCAGGCAGACCTGAGCACAGCTCAGATCCAAATGCAGATCCACCTAGGAACGTACCTGGCTGGTCTTAGCAGGGGGTGGCAGAGACCTGTTGTCACAGCTGAGTTGTTCTATTCCCAGCAGGTGAACCGTCCCTGCCCCTTACTCCTCCACTGCAGTATTTATGGACAAACAGTTCTGCCTGTTTGTCAACAATACACTTTAATTTTTTTTTAAGAGTGAAGAAACTAATCACTCCTCAAGCACCTCTAATTATTTATTTTAAAACCTTCAGGGCCATTGGCGTTTTGAACGATCCAATTTTTGAAAACTTTCCCAGAGTTAAAGTGTGTGGACAACACCCTGTGATGATTTGTTTTCCTCGAGACAAGATTTACCAGCCTGGCGCTGTAGTGATGGACCTAAAATAACAGCAGCATCACAACACACTGTTTACCCAGCACTCAGCACCCACAGTGCCGAGCCAGGCTGTGGGAACACTGGTGCCCACAAGCAGCACCCACAGCTCGGGCACCTACACACACCATCGTAGGTCAGCCAAGATTCCTGCACACACTTAATGCCAAGGACAGGAAAACTCCTAAGACAGAATGAGGAAGGTATTAGAGGGTCCCACCAGCTGCTTGGTTTGCAGCTCCTTTCCAGCCCTGCAGTATCAGACCAGCACCTGCAGGCCCTCCCTTTGAGGTGACTCCTGTACAGCAATGAGCCACTGCAGAATGAGAACACCCTGACCCACCTGGGCTGTGCCAGTCCCCAGGGGAGCAGCCCCTCACACAGACTGGCCCTGAAGGTTCTGGGATACCCCCTGACTGTCCAGACAACTAGTCTGTTGTTTCTGTTTTGTAAATAACACCCAGTAATTGCTGTATAGGGCTGTAACTCATTGATACTTGGGAGCAGATCACATTGCCTTTGAAAAAAAAAACAACAGTGCAATTAAGTGTGTTACACTGGAGACAAAATAAAGTTCTTTAAAGAACAAATAGGAGATAGTTTTGAAATATACACCATTTTCTTCTACTGCTGTTACACGTGGGTCAGTCAGACCCCAGAGCTCCAGGATGCTCCAGCCACCCTGCACGGGGGCAGTTCTGCATTCCCTCACATCCTCTTTCCCCAGGTGTGTGGCTCTCCACTCCTATGTGCCTCATGGACCAGATGAGCTGGAGCTGCAGAAGGGAGAAGGGGTCCGTGTCTTTGGGAAGGACCATGACGGCTGGTTAAGAGGAATGTCTCTCGTCACGGGCAGAGTCGGCGTCTTCCCCAGCAACTATGTGGCTCCCCTCTTCAGGTTTGCTTTTTCTTACATGAAACAAAGACACTTGGAGAGGGAATAGAGGGTCCCTCACCAGGCAGGATGGCACCCAGCAGCTCTCACCCTTCTTTTCCTTTTCCAACAGGAAGTCGAGTCTCACTGACTCAAAAATGCCTTCCCTGTACACTTCATGGACACTGTCGACCTCCTCGCTCTCCTCCCAAGGGAGCATCTCTGAAAATGGCCCGAGGCAAAGCAGAGTCCTGAAGCCGGTGCTGCTGCCCATCCCTATCCCCTCTCCGGGGAGGAGCACGGTGGGACCGGCACCGCTGCGGCGCGGCCGCGGCAGCGCCAGGAAGAGTAAGTGACTGGGGGGGCTCTGGGAGGGAGAGCAGACACATTTCCCCAAAACCACACCAGCTGCTGCGGTTCGTGGTTCCACACCCCTGCTTGGCCCCACTCTGGCTGCTTTGGGAATTCCAGGGTGTTTGCCTCACCATGGAAAAACTCCTTGCAAAGGTTTATGCATAGCTCAGTGGTTATATCCTTTCCAAGGAGGCTGCAAGATTTATCGTCAGCCCATGCACACTGTCTTAAAATACATTTCCAAGAGTATATGGGGAATCAAGTGATGCACTCCTAGCACTGGCAGTATTGCTGGAGGCAGGCAGTGCCCTGGCAGGGGACACTGTCTGTGGTTTTAGACTCAAAATTGGTCGAATTGCTGCCTGCTAGTCCCGGTGCCTGGGGGGAGGGCATGTGCCAATCCCTGGGAGCTACGGCCCCACAGCATCCTGTGAACATGGCTGTTCGTGCAGGGCTGTGACCACTGCTCACTCTGCCCCTTTGCTCTCTCTGTGCCATTTTGGATTTCTGCTGACTTTCTTTTTCCATCGCTCCTTGCTCCGCAGATGGATCCCTGCAGAGGCCGGGGCAGGCAGGGACCCCCGTGCAGATCACGGGCTCCCTCAGGCGTCCTTCCGCGGCTGCGGGGCGACCTCAGCAGTTCCAGATTTACCCACACATCAGCTCCCCGTCACACAGCGTCCCTCCCGGAGCCGGCATGGACGAGGCAACGAGGCCAAACTTCTCCCACGAGGCTTCACCGGCGCTTGTGGTCAGGGGAGGGGAGAGTCGAACCCCCTCCGTGTGCAGCTCAGTGATCCTGGATGCCAAAGACCCTCCAGTGAAGAGTGAGGCAGCTCCAAAGCCGCCTGCGTCAGCCCCGCCGTCCATCCTGGTGAAACCAGAGACCTGCCGCAACAGCGCCGAGAAGGTACGGCCAGTGCTTCCCTGTGCTCCAGAGGGTCCCCCTCCCCTTGGAACCAGCAGTGTCAGCCAATACTGACCAGGGCCAAATCCCCTGAGGGCTTTGCTCCATCCTCACCAGGTTTTCTTCCAATAGAAATCACTGAGATTGGCACCTGCATTCAGAAATCAGGTATTTGTGTTGCTGACACTGCTTTCCAGATTAAGCCCTACAGAAAGGCAGGGGCTTTGTCCCTGTCACCAAGTTCAGTCACAAGCAAATATTAAGACCTTTCTGAGGTCTTGAATCATAAAATTATCCCATCAAAGTCTCCAAGAGTTTGGGAGGGAATGGGCAAATACCACAGACCTTCTGTCAGGTCTTGTGTCAGGCAGAGCTTTGCAGAGCTGCCCCATCTCCCTCATGTCGGTTGGGCTGAGCTATTTGGAATGGGAATTTCTTTCCCCTCTGGCAGCCAGAGAGAAATTTCATAAAAGTGAAATCATTCTGTAAATTGCGCTAGTGAAGCTTCCTCTTCCCATGATACCCAAAGAGGTGCCCAAATCACTCCACAAGCCCAGGCAGCCTCAGAGCTCCCAGGCAGCACAGCATCAGCTGAGAGAACCTGCAGGTCTCTTGAGGGCAGGACAGGCTGCCCACCCTCCCGGTGCTGTGCTGCCTCCTGCTCCTTCCCTCCCGATAACTCAGTCAATGGCTCTCGGGACCGACTCTCCTTGGTCGCCAGTAGCCACCAGCCCTGCTGTGCTGGTCCCTGGGTCTCCCTTCCACCTGCCATCGGCTGCACGTCCCCCTGGGCTTCTCCGCAGGCATCCAGTGCCCCAGGAAGGATCCAGCCGCCCCCTCGGCACATCCTCCTTGGTTCTGCAGGGCTGGGCACTGAGGGGCGGCGGGCGGGGGGGCTGCTGTTCCCACCTGACCCCGGTCCCCTTCTCGCTGCAGCAAGTGAAGACGGTGCGGTTCCAGAACCACAGCCCTCCGCCGCCCAAGCGGCACAGCCTGCAGCCCTCGCCGCGCCTGCAGCGCGCCAGGACGGAGCCCGAGGTGCTGCTGCCCGAAGCCGGCCTGGGCCCCGAGCTGCTGGTGCTCTACTCGCCCCGGCTCGGCTCCAGCCCCCTGCACCCGCGCCGGGCGCTGCACCCCAAGGCGCTGTCGCTGGACCTGTCGGGGCAGCTGACCTTCCCCGTCAAGAAGAGCTACAGCAGCATCTCTGCAAACTGACCGGGTAACCCCCGCCTGCCTCCTCCCCGCACCTGCTCCTCTCCCTCCCGCGCAGGACCCCGGACCCCGCACAGCCTCCACTGCTCCCCGTCTGCGCGAGGGGACGGTGCTCCCGTGTCCCCGCACCACCGGCACCCTCGGGACCCGAGAACCTGAGGCCTCCAGAGCTGTGGGAGCCCCCGAGGGAGCCCCCCCTGCCCCAGGGATGCCCAAGAACCGGGAGATGGGGCTCGAGGACTGACGTTCCCCGGTGCCGCTGCCTGAACGGCACCGCTGGATCGGCGGGAGGGGAGGGAAGCCTGCGGGTGTCAGAGAGAGCTACACTTGTTTTGATCTTCTCAGGGCTGCAGGAAGCCCACAGAAATCTAACAGCGGGTCATTACCTGCCTGTCTCAGGATAAAGAAACCATAAATCAGAGTCAATCAGCTCCTGGCTGATAATTTACGCTGCCTTTGAGGGGGAGGGGGGGTCACTTAGATTTTTTTTTAGGGTAGTTGCTTGCTTGCCTTTCTCTTTGGTTTTAGCCCAGGAATTTTAACACAGAACAGTCTAAAAGGTGATTGGAGATGAAAAAGCCAATGGGAAGGGCCGTGCCATCACTGCAGTCACCCAAGCTCTGCAGTCAGGGCGCTGAATCTTGCTTCTCCTCATTGCTTGGTTTCCTCTGATCACCTGTCAGCTACCTCCTCCCCATGAGCTCCCTCCAGCCCCTTCCCACTGCCCACTCAGATGTGGCTGTTGTAAATATCTTAAGTGGGATTCATGGGTTTCACTCTACATTCAGATGCATGAAACATCGTCTATGTAACAGAAAGCAGAATTCAGCATTCCCTGTGCCCCAGACCACCCTCTGCCGTGGCAGCACCAGCTCCAGTTTCCAGCTGACCCCATTCCAAGCATCCTCCTGTGAATCCCAGGAAAGCCAGCAGAATCAGAGAGTGGTGCTGGCTCACAGCTGTGCCTGCTTTCCAGAAAACCTCTGCACAACAGATTTTGGGTTTCATACTTGGTTTCCATTGCTGGTTTATCCACCAGCAGTTCCCACCCCAGCTGCGGGCACCACCCGCCACCTCTCCTGACAGTGGGAGCTGTGTTCCCTCCAGAACTGCCATGAAATCCCATCCTTGGCTACCTGCATACAGACCCAGGGAAGGAACTCCACTGGTCAATGGAAACTCTTTGAGGCCCTGGCATGGGCCTCAGAGAAGGACAATTTCTCCTGGAACTAAGCAAAGAGAACGGATAAAATCATTCACTAGGCCACAACCCCTGGTCCTTCACTCTTCCAGACTTTCTCTGTGGAAGCTGGGCCTGCCTGTGGGGATTTTCAGGGGCACAACAACCACCAAGGCACAGATAAGTTCTCACCTTGTGCTCTCTATCAGTATTTCAGCTCCTGCAGAAACACCCTGACAAGCTGAAAACGTGTCGTGCGCCCAGGTACAAACGGTGGCACCAGCCACAAACAGGAAGGTGAGCACAACTCAGCAATGCCACCTCAGAGACAGCTCAACGCCTCAGGGAAGACAAGCTGGTCCTCTGTTGAGGACTACTCTAATCCCTTTAAAGCTGGACCAGAAAGCAGCTGGCTCTATCACCAAGACACATCCACGTATCCCAGGCATACTTAGAAATAAACAGAATTCCGCTCGATATTGGTGCTTTGGTAAAAGAGCAGGCAGCTATTTTGGGATGGATGCCTATGTTTCACACACAGGATATTTCAGAGCTGTGATGCTATGGTGATAAGTGCCCTAAATGTGTTCAATATATGTAGGGAGAGAGAACTAAAAACAAGACGTACTTTAAAGCTAAAGGCCCTAATAAGCCTCTTGTCCCCACAGACAGCCTTGCCCACGGGTTTCATGCCACAGCCCACCGAGCAGAACTGCCAAATCCTCACCTCCTCCCCAGCAGCACCTCCTCCTCACCTCCTCCCCAGGAGGGAGCTCCTGGGCTGTGTCACTTCACCAAGGAACATTCCAAGAACGAGGGACAAGAACTCAGACTTCTTTCTTCCAAAAGCTCAGGCTAAAGCAGAGCCTGCTGAGCTAATCCAGAGCTAACCCATCATGATCCCCAAGTGAGGCAGTGCCCGACAACTGATCCTAACCCATGTGGAGAAACCAGTCACACTGGGAAAGGCATCAACTGTCAGGGAGCAATTCCCCAAGTGCTCTGGACCAAAACCATCTGTTCTGAAAGAATCACCCCATCCCCCTTAACTCTGCAACCACAATCACCACACTGGGTTCCTGGCATATTAGCAAACTTCACATTTTTGGTTTCAGCTCTGGGCTGCAACCTGAAGTACACTGCATCTTCCCTGAGGATCTGCTCCAAACTCTGGGCCTTCAGGCTGCTGTCATTCAATTTTTTTTTTATATAGTGTAGCAATGGAAAGGGAGGTATCACATGCTGGCAGGAGGGTGGCAGCTTCTCATGGAGGTGGGCGAGCTCTTCAAGGGTTTCTGTTCTTCTTATATATATTTAACTTCCCTCCTGCCTTCCCACCCTCCAGACTCTCTTCAGCCTGTTTCCTCAGTGAAGAGAGGTCAGACATCAGCATTGGGACCCTGTTTTGTCCTTCTCATACTGGCCAGGAGGTCTCTTTCCCCTCTTGGATGTCATTCCTCTGTGCTCTCAGTGGTACAGAGGGACCAGTCCCACCCCCAGCCCTGCTGACCCTCCAGGCCTGCAGCCTCCTGTGCTGCCACAGACCATCACACGGAGCACAGAGCACCAAGGAAACAGCATCAGAAAGGCAAGATGTATTTCTATAATGAAAATACACCAACCAGACAGCCTGAGCCGGGCTCTGAACACCCCGAGCACCGTGTCCATCAGCACAGCTCAGGAATGGAGCTCTGGGAAAAGCATAAAGCAGCACACAGGGACAGAGGGACCATTAATGAACCTCTCCAACTTCTTCAATTGGGCTTATTTTCTCTCTGCTCATTCCTTATGATTAGTTAATGAATTAGAGCCTGAATCAGATCATTCATCAGCTCTATTTGCCTGCCCAGCCTGGCAGAACCCTGGGAGTGCTTTAGCACACAACCTGCCCCCGAGCCTGGGCTGCATGATAAATCATGAGCAGAGGCAGCAGAAGTAAGAAAACAAAGCATTCACTAATTCTCTCCACATCTTCCATGTGGAGGGAGCCTCCCTGCCCTGGGCACAAACACCTTGTCTCGGACATGGGAGGATGCAGAGGAGCCCCCTTTCCAGTCCATCCTGGGGCTGGAGTGTTGGGCCCAGGGGGGACTCACCCTCCACCTGCCACAAGAAAAGTGCCACAAGAATGATGTTCAGTCTCAGAAGATAATTCTGGAAGGAATTCTGCAGAATTGGACTGGCTGCAGCATCACTGCACACCACTCTCCTGTTCACTCCCTGCCCAGCAGTTATTGCAGTTCATTTGTGCAACGATGTGTTTGAAGTGCAATTGCAGCTCGAGACTTCAGGTTTTCAGGTTTTTTGTCATAAGCCTCAGTACCTGCCCTGTTTACAAAGTAACATTTCCAAATATTCATGAAATCAGTGTTTAGAACCCCAAACTGTCCATGAAGTGATGGGGACTTACCAGTGAGGTCAGTGGGAGCTCCACAGGCTGATCCCTTCATACCTGTTCCCAGTGGGAAGCGGTGATGGATCAGAGACCGCAGTGTCAGGCTGGTGAGGACTGCAGGGGTAACGAAAGGAGAAAAAGATCTCTTTATACCAAAGTTCCAGGCAAAATATGTTTTAAAGGCAGAAGGGGGTCAACAAAAAGAGCTTCCCTGATCCCCTGTGCGACCAAGCAGGGAATTTCACTGAGTTCTTTCTGCACTGAGCCCAGGGAATGCTCCAATGAAATGTTACAACCAGATCACTATCAGTGAGAAAACAGAAATTACTATTTTTACATGTATAACTTAGAAATAGTAGGATATATAACCTTTGCTTAGTTGGTGATGGGTAGAAGAAATAAATATGTTTAGTTTATTGTTCAGAAACACTTGTATAAATTCAGGGATGCTGAATACTTTTTCCATGAAGTGAAGTTCATTTTTTAAAAAGATTTTTTTCAACTTAAGGTACTATTTGGGAGAAAAGTCAATAAACAAGATAATATTAGTTTCCTGTTTTGTATTAATCCTCAAGCTATTTATTTTGTATTTCTGTAACGAAAAGCAAAGGTTTAAAGATATTTTAAGTTTTGAGAAGTTTATTAATCTAAGTTTATAGCACTTATGTTTAGCTCTGTAGCCTGTAGGTAATTAAATTAATTGGGGCCAACTGGGTTATGGCCCCTCATGCACTGGAAGTCGTGGCAGCTGCAGTGAGTGGCAGCGTGAGGGCACTGCCAGCACAGTTGGGCCACTTGGGGGGAACTGGGGGAGGGCATCAGGGGGACACTGGGAGAAACAGGGCGGGGAACTGGGGGAAACACGGGGCTTGGGAAAGCTTTGGGCACCCGCTGCGTGAGGCTCACGAGCCCATGGGGGCTGCTGTGGCACCATTAAAACTTTTTGCATGAAAAACAATCCCCATGAATGTTTATTTTCACTTTCTTATTTCAGGTTTCACACCCTCGGGAACAGATGGCGATGGGGGGTTACCTGGGTGAGGGGGGTTACCTGATTCCAAGGCCAGGAATGCGGGCTCTGCCTTCCTACTCATGGCCAAGTTCTGGTTCAAGGTCCCAATGCTACTTTTGAGGCTCTTCGTCCCCATCAGGAACGACAAGTAAACAGAACGATGATATTTAGCACTTCTTGACTCTTTCTTTTCAAAGTGCTTGGAAAGCTTTGGCCAAGAGGAGAGCACGGCACTTCATTCTGTTGTAGAAGCGAGTCCACGGGGGCAGGGACAGCCAGGGTGCAGGGGCGGGGCCCCGGGTGCTATTTCCAGTCCCAGCCCTGGGTCATGCTCTGTGGCCACTTCCCCCCCATGCTATCAGCACCTCAGATGAAGAACAAGGGGGTCACAGCTGCCCTCCCAACAGCAGCAAATCTGCATGAAATTTTCAGCTCACAAGTCCCAGCTGGAGGTGGCAATTTAGGCTCACACTCCCAAAGCCACCACTGGGTCAGGAAACTGCTGTGGTACAAGATCTGGGCATTGTGTCCAGGTTTAACTCACCAGGGGTACCGGGAGCTGCATCCAGGTTTAACTTTCTGAAGGGGAGCAGCAGCAGAGACAGGAACTACTGTAACATACTCCTGCACTTTAGTTTTAAAAACCAG